AAAAACTAAGAACGTAAAGAACCTAATAAAAGCTGAACCGAAAATCACAACCCAGTCCTATTATATTCAATATGATAGTTCACATACAACGTGGATCACAATATCTTAAACACAGTAATAATCGATGAGTTCTGAATTTATTACATTTTCTCAAATTAAGTTAAACCCGCGCCGGTGCGCGGGTCAAGATCTAGTTTTTTATTAAACCTGAACCGGATTAAACACATGTCACCAGATATATGGGTTCAACCACAGTCTAAGTCGGATATGAAAACATTTCTTTGAAAGTATATATAATAGAACAATTTTTTTTGAAAAACTAATATAATAAATTTAAAATTATTTATTTTTATAAAATTTATAAAAGCAATCAAATTTGATCAAAATAGTAAAACTATATCCGCGCTTTTAAAGCGCGGATCAAAATCTAGTTGTTCATTATATCAAAATATATTATATATACCTGATATTAGATAAACCTGGTTTGATTAATTGCTTAAGTTTTGGTTATAAGTGTGTGTGATATCTAGTTTATATATAGACAGCATATCACAATTAATTTGCAAAGTATATTCTTTGATTTTGTTGTAGTTACTTTAGGCAGGCGTGCCTATACTCATATAAATTCTGAATAACATGCATTATGCAGGCTTGAATGAAAATTAATCAAAGGCATTAAGTGACGCAAATATAAGAACATGAAAAATAAATGTAGCTAGAGTCTAGAGCATCACTATTAAAAACGACTACTAGCTACCATTATGACAGATTGTTTTTAGTTTTAAAATGCTTCGTGAAAGCATTGGGTTTTGTCATGCCATGTTTAAATTTTTTTTTTTTTTTTTTGCGATGTTTAAATTGATAGTTTTAATTTTTTTTTTTTTTGGCAAAGGGAGGTTTAAGTTTAAACATGAAGTGACAGTAACAAATTTAGTAACTGTTAGCGACTAATGTTTTCAACCTGGCAAGTGTGAAGGCTATTTCACTTATAACTAGTTAATATTCCACACCTTGCAATTTAATATGAATTTTAAATCTGTTTAATATGGATACCTCTTCGGTTTTAGATTTTTGTTTTTGTTTTTATTTTTGTTTTTGTTTTTGTTTTTAATCTCCTACAATATAAAAATCCTTCTAAATCAATATTTATTTTGGTTTGTTTAGGATAAGATGATTGATGTTTTTGGTTCTTCTAGTGATAACCAAAAATTATAATTATCTGATTAATTTTCATTTTATATAAAATTTTGATAGTTCTAATGTCAAATCAATGATTTTATGTTACAGTTTATAAATGGATGATAGTTAAAGAAAACGAAAATAAAATAATTAAGACAAATTATTTAATTACAATTTGGTCGACAGTGAAAAAAATATTAAGAAGAAAATATTTCAACTTCTAAAAAAATAATACATTAGTAGTGGTGAATATTTATTATATATGTACACACCATCAGTCAATGTGCACATGTGTATGTAAACATTATATAAATGTGGTTAATAAGTATATAAAGATACTGTCAATTAATTTTAAACAATATTTTTTGCTCAAAATAACACATGAAAAATCAATTCTTAAAATTAAATTAAACTATCTAGAAATAAAATAAGGCTAGACATAATGAAGTTTTTTCATATAATAAATCAAATTGTATCCGTAAATAGGGATGTGCATAAATCGAATATCCGGGTATTTGAAGGTATTCATGTCGATTCGATTCGTAGCCACATGAATATTCGGTATCTCGAATACTGATTTAATCCGTAATAAAATAAGTAAAAATCTAAAAATAATACAAAATAATAATATTCTATTACAAAATAAGACTTATTTAAATTTTAAATTATAATACCTAATATAATAAATTTAATACATAAAAGTATTGTAAAGCTTATATAAGTTATATTATATATATAATTCTTTAACTATATGTATATATATATATGCATATAACAGATCGATCAGATATCCATTCATAAAAATATTAATATTTGTGATTTTCTTTGTTGTTTACGGATATTGCATTTTAGTATTTGATTTGCTTCTAGAGTTAACAATATCCAGATTTTTCGGTTCAAATCAAAACGGAAACCAAAACAAATACAAATTTATAAATATTTTATCCAGCGCTATCCTTAAAGAATAAAAATAATATATATATTTGATTCTAACCGAAAAATCAGGATACTATGATTTTTATTAGAAGCTTACATGTGAGTGCATTTATTGCAATGCGTCAGCGTTATTATTCTCAAAAACTGACACATGTCCCTTAAAGTATGAACACTTTATTGCAATGTTTCTCTTTTAATATATAAGAAATATGTTTCTTAGTATATGATGTATATATACACATATAATTTGTTCTCTAAAATGCTGTATATACTAATTTTTTGTTATCTATATAAAAAACAGCAAACCGTGTTTAGCCTGAAAAGATGTAACAGTTCTCCAGGAAGTAATCTACTTAGGACCATGGGATAAATAACCAAAACTTAATAACAACAGAAAAGATATTCATTTATAAAACTAAGCTCTATACTTCGTATATTCCTTCTTTTCATATAACTCCTAAATCACCAATGGAGAATTCTTCCGATATAAACGGTTCTAATTTTTGAATAAAACTATATATAGAAACACACAACTTATCCATAAGTTCCAGACATGCACCATCGTCTCCAATCTTTCTTCTTCTTCTTCTTTTAAACGTTGTTGTAACCAGGGAAGCCTAATCTTTTCTTCTTGATTTCTTCAAATGCATCATAAGGCTTCGAGCAGAGACACCAACAGCCAGAACTTTCCAAAACTCAAGAGTGTAGAAACTGATCCAGATCCTGACATCTATGACATAACATACGTCGATGTTTCTCCTTCTGTCGGCTCCACTTCTCCTTTGTCCAAATCCCCATGGATCGCACATGTCGATCCCACCGATCTGGAACCGCCTCATTCCGGGATAAAGTCCACGGCCTCCCACACAAGAGAACCTAAAAACTACTCTCCTAACATCCTCATGGGCTCTCTATTCCGTGAAGAAGGCCATATATATTCTCTAGCCACATCTGGCGATCTACTCTACACAGGATCTGACTCCAAGAACATTAGGGTTTGGAAAAACCAAACCGAGTTCTCCAGTTTCAAATCAAACAGCGGTTTGGTGAAAGCCATTGTCCTAGCAGGAGACAAGATCTTCACGGGACATCAAGACGGGAAGATCCGTGTGTGGAAAGTCTCGTCCAAAGACTCAAACATCTTTCGTCGTATTGGTACCATGCCGGTTTTTCGAGACTACCTCAGAAACTCCATAACGCCTTCTTCTTACTTCAGTTTCATGAGAAAGAACCCGACCAGCACCAGCGCTCAAGGGTTCCGACATGTGGACGCAATCTCGTGTCTCACGTTGAGCGAAGACAACAAGCTTTTGTATTCCGGGTCGTGGGATCAAACGTTTAAAGTATGGAGGATCTCGGACCTTAGATGTTTGGAGTCGGTGAAAGCGCACGATGACGCTGTAAACGCCGTCGTTTCGGGGTTTGACGGTTTGGTTTTCTCCGGTTCGGCTGACGGTACGGTTAAAGTGTGGAGGAGAGAGGACCAAGCTAAGGAGACGAAACATTTTTTCTCCGAGACGTTATTGAAACAAGATTGCGCCGTTACGGCGATCGCGGTTGATCAAAGCGCAACGTTAGTTTACTGCGGTTCATCTGACGGAACCGTTAACTTTTGGGAAAGGGATAATAATATGAAAAACGGCGGCGTGTTAAAGGGGCATAAACTCGCTGTCCTCTGCCTCGTCGCGGCGGGGAACTTGTTGTTTAGTGGTTCGGCTGATCTTGGGATTCGCGTTTGGAGGAGACCAGAACGTGGGGATGGGAGAGGCGGAGACGGAGGAGGAGGAGAGCACGTGTGTATTGCGGTGTTAAAGGGACATGCAGGTCCGGTGAAGTGCATGGCAGTGGAGAGAGATCAAGAATCAGCTTCAGGTGAGAAACGGTGGATTGTGTACAGTGGGAGTTTAGATAGGTCGGTGAAGATGTGGCGTGTGTCCGAAAATTCACCGCCTATTGAATACCAGTCATCGGATCCGTTTGATGGTCCAACTGAACTAACGATGGCTCCTAGCTTCTCGGGTAAAGGGTGAATGAGCCCCAAATAATAGTTTTGTTTTGTAACGATTTACATCTCTTATTAATATGGTAAAATATGTTCGTTAATTATTTGCATTTTCTTTTTAACATAGTAAAATATTTTGTTAATTATTTATTTTTCTTAATTTTTTCAATAGTTAAAAAAGCTTAGGGAAAATAGGCAAGCTTTGGTTAAGATATGTTTTTTAGTTTTTCATTAAAAAATATTAAAAACCAACCTTAAGAACCTTTTAATAAATACCCTACAAACATGATTAACCGAGGATTTTTAAATTGGGGTTCTTATCAGAAGTTAAAAAATTGTTTATTAATTTTTAACTAAACAAAAATTAAGAACCGGCTCTTAAATAAGGATTTTAAAAATAGTTTCTTAATTTTCGCTAAGAATCTCACCCTAAATATTCTAGGTTAATCGTAGTCTAAGGCCTTATTTCCATTTCCATTGGTGAAGAGAAATATAATTTCAAAATTACGTTAAGAACATTCAAAATTGTTTAGCCTTATATCGCACAAAAGCATAAGATCCGATAAAATCACTCCTATGAATATATGAGGTTATGTCAAATTAATATACAGCTATTTTTCCTGAGTTCGCCACCTAAGTTGCCAATTCATATTTAGTTTTTGAAAATAGAGAGTAAATATAATTAGAAATAGTGTCATTAACTAAAAAAAAGGGAAAACTAAAAAAAGGAAACAAAAAAAAACAGAACATGATGGGTTGTCTAATGCGTGGTAGATAAATCTTCTTCTTCATCGTTACAGAGAAGATATACTATAGATTACAGAGAAGATAGTAAGCTCTGATTGTGATTTTCGGGTCTCCAGTCCCCTGCTTTCACGAAGAAAAAAGGGAACCAGAAAAAGAGAACACGACGGCTTGAAACCTTATTTTGTGACTGAGAATCACTTAGAACAAAATTTAATGATATTGTAACATTCTCAGGTGGTGATTACAGCATTAGTAAATAATGATTTCGAGCTTTTCGAAAATTAACAGATTAATCGTTAGAATGAAATGGGATACATAAGCCCGAAAGAGCAGGCGTGAATGGCCCATTACCCATAAATGGTCGGGGCACTATAGATACGTGTACAATTTCGTCATATCATGAACCAAATTTAGCAAACTAATTGGAATAAATTAAACTTTGTAAGATGTTTTAAATATAATTGACTCAAATCTATTGAAGATAGAGAATAAAGCATGTGAGAAAATAACATTTGTTTTGTTAATCCTATCAATAATGTTGTTGTAGTATAGTAGTAAGTATTCCTGCTTGTCCCACATATAACCGGGGTTTCGATTCCCAGCAATGGGGCAATATTTTTTGTATTAAGTCTAATTTCTCCATTTGTAATTCTATATATATACTAAAGCATAAGTCATCTGACCAATCATATTTTACCATATAACTAAAATTTTATTTTTTAGAAAACAAATTACTGAAAACAAAAACCAAAACATACTAGTTTATTTCTTCGCTACATAAAACAAAAAAGAAATAATTTTTTTTTGTGTTAACTTCCTCAACTATTACAGCCACGATATCCACCTTCTACTACATAACATCAACTTTAAGTGCACACTTCAACTTTAAACGCACACTGTTAGAGAGGGTTTTTTACCTGCCCCAGACCCGATCCGGAACTATGGCCCAAGAATAATGAGGTATGGGTTGGGCTAATCAAAAGGCCCAAAGAAAAATGTAGGCCCAAAAAGTAAAAAGCACGTCTCAAAGTCAAAGGATCAAAAAATTTTGGAGTGCAGAAGTCTGTGCATAGTTACGAAAGATCAAAGGCATTTTAAACTCTAATAAAGGGGCGTGATTCACGCCAAAAAACCATGAACCGTTATGATTAACTCAGATTATGATTAACTCAGAAGATCTGTAAAAAGAAGGAAGAAGAGCCAAGATGGGGACATCTGAATTCTCCATAGCTAAATTACACTGATTATATTCGATTCTTAATGTTATTAAATACCCATTGTTATCATCTTCTAACATTATCAATAAATATCTTTTTTCTAAAGATACCTAATACCGACTCTTTCTAATTTAGATTTTGTTATCAATCAAGTTCCTAGATTTGTAAATCTTGTTTCTGAATGAATTTTAGGATTCATCACACACTAGAATCACTTTGACAACAATTTTGCTTATAAAGTTATTCCAAGCAGTTTCTTCTTCCACAACGTAACCAATTTTGCTTATAAAATCAATATGTTTAAATATTTATATTAAATATGAAAATTATATAATATATTACTTAATTTTTTTCAATGATTTCAACCCGTTTTGTTATGAATTTTTAATAAATCTCTGTAATTTATTTGATTAATTTTGTGATATATATATATATATATATATATATATATATATATATATATATATATATATATATATTATAAAACTTATTTGATGTCAATTTACTGACTCTAACATGTACTTATATACAATATTTAGTTTAATTTGAAAGTTTTTAAAGTTTAAATGAATGTAACTCTTTATTTATGAAAACATGAATTACATAATAGGTTAGATTAATTGTTTTTCTATTAATTTGAAATTATTTCTAGTTATTAAAAGATAGGATATAATATGTTATATTATTTGGACACAAGAATAACTAATATGCTGTTTAAAAAATTTAGTAGTATAATGTTGTTTTTCATAATTAACATAAAATAGAGACTAATCCGCGCATCCGAGCATGATTAGTTTTTACTTTTTTTATAAATGTTTTATAAGACTTTAAAACATGTTGATATAGATTATTTAGATACTTTTAAGTTTTTACGAATCTATCAGACCCTAAAAAATCTTGTCCAAAATTTATAATATAGGAAAAGGTAATTTTAAAATCAAAAAAAGATACCAGAAAACCGATCTATATCCTGTGGGAACCGAAATTCACCCCTGTTAATTTTACGTAAGTTTAGGAATTTAGAGTAAACCTTAATTTCCCAGAGGACCTGACTATCTGCGGAACCGCACACAAGCAATCAAGAACACGATATGGATAACTAAAAGATGTAAAAGAAAACGAGATTGAGAGAAAGAAGGATCTTATTCTGAATTCGCGTAAGAGTGGTACAACGAGAGTAAGCCTTGGCTACCAGAGCTGTCGGCGAGTTCCCTAGTTCTAATAACCTAATACTGAAAACCCTAGTTGAGACGCAGTTCGATAACAAAAACGGAAATATTCCTAAGTGCTAAGTTTGGTGGTGAAAGCTCTGAAAACTCGTCCTCTGCTTCTGTCCTCTGCCTTCTGCTTATATACTCCCTCCTTTAGGCGGTTTAGTCCTTCCTTTTCGCCCAGATTTGAGTTTATCGGAAATCTTCCATTTATCTCGATCTTTCCATTTTCTTTGCGGAAATCTTCTATTTATCTTCAAACTTGATGTTTATCTTCAAACTTGACATTTATCTTATTTCTGCGAGTAAATCTTAAAACCGTCATTGTATCTTTGGGCTGGATTTTGTTTAAAGTCGCAAGTGGACTTTTATCGCGCTTTTGGGCTGTCCGAGTCGTTTTGCAATAAAAACCGTTTTACGATTTTTAGACGAGATCGTTTCCTGATACGATGCCGTTTTTATAAGAGTTCTCGAGTTGATCGTATAGTTTGACAATGCACGGTGTTCCATCTAATCGTTGCCGTTTTATACGATCTTCCCAAATTTTACAAGAAAAGAAGACTTTTACGATTTGTATCGTAAAACTTAAACGGCAAGACGGATCGAGACGAAATGAGAGACGTTTCGACCATGGTTCAGAGCATGATCAAACTGAAGGACGTATGCATTGCATAAAGGACGCGGGATATCAAGGCTCGGGACGGTCGGCTCGACGTACGGCGAGCTGCTTTGAGGCGACAAGCTCGCCGTACGGCGAGCTGCTTTGAGGCAAACAGCTTGCCGTACGGCGAGCTGAACCGACTGGTTCGGCTCGTCGTACGTTGAACATTGTTCAGTCGAACCTGCTCGCGGTTTACGGCGGATGCGGTTTTTTCGCATAACTTGGGCAATCGTGTAATCGGCGATTGTTTCGTTCGTTCTTCCGAGATGACGATTTCCAAGTTTTCCGCGGATTTCCTTTGTTCGGAAAGTCCTTAGAATTTTATAAAACAACTTCTCGTGTTTTATAAAACGTATTTTTATTTTTTCGGAGAGTTTTGCTCATTGATTCCGTCGTACTCATTTTGAGCCCAACACTTAGACCCCCAGCTCGTAAGAATCGTGGAGTTCTTGCGAGCGGTTCGAACTTGTTTGAAAAGTTTAGTGGAATTAGGCGGAACTTAATGGCCAAGAGTCCAAAGGTGAATAGTAAAAAAATTTCTTATAAATATATGGAGCAAGTTTTCAAATTCTTTACTCACTTCCTTCCATAACTCTTCTAAGGTTCAAGAAGTTTTCTCTCTTCTTTTTCCTTTGAATCTCTTTCTCTTTCGATTGCTCAACATGTCTTCCGAGTGGGAAGCTTTGGAGCGTGCTCACGCATCAATCTTTGAACCGAGTGATCTTGCTACTTCTGACGGCTGTGCCCTTCCTAAGCCGGTCTTTCTGCGGTTTTCCGCGAGTAAGAAAGAAACCGCGAAATATCGGTCAGCTTTGGGTGTTGCCGATGTTCCTCCAGCTAGCTTCTTGCTTCCAAAGAGGGGTAAGCTTCAAAGGAACAAGGAAGGTCCGAGCGCGAATACCGTCCGTTCCCTCAAGGATTTGAGGAATTCTCGCGCGATTTCGATTTCGGTACAGTTTTGCCTTCTCGAATGGGGTCAAGATGCCGAGAATCCGCCCCGGGTTACTTTACATGTTACGAGGATTTTCTGTTGAACTGCCAATTATGGTTCCCTATTCCGCGAGCCATTGTTGAGCTTTTGGATCGGTTCAAAATGTCGTTCAGCCAGCTTCGTCCCTCCACGTTGCAGCACCTCGTCGGGATTCTGGTGCTAGGTTACGAACGCGGAATGTCTCTCAACGCGGACTATCTT